CAACCAAATTGCTGTTGTCTAGAGGACAATCAGATGTTTTGCATCCCAGATCTGGTACATGGGCTCCATTGCTGAAGAGGGATTTGAATCTGGACCTCCACTAGTCTTAGTCCAACATTCTAATCACTGTATCAGCTTGGCTATCCCAATACAGCTTTTGGAGGAAAAATTCCAACCGTCCATTACATTTAAGAATCAAGAGTGTCTATGGACATTCTCACTCATCCAGGTCATGGTTATCCCAAAGGTGCTATTTTTCAAAAGGCAACTGGACTTTCTTAGTTTTGTTTGAAGACGTTTTGCTTGAAGACATTTCTCTTCTCATCCAAGAAGCTTGATTCACCCTTCTGGTGTAGGGGAAAATGCAGTTCTCATGTTGGTCTGTTTTAGATTGAATTACAGCGCAGGGGATAGAGGCATATTGGCTTGTAACTTCAGGTAGTTAAATGACTCTATTGTTTCCCCCTTCCATGAATAAAAGCCAGACTGGATAGCCACCAAATCTAATTTCCAGAAGTTCTGCACCTGATCTTGAGAATAACTCAATAAAGGGGCACAATTCCCATCAAAATACATAGTCATTCAATATCCTGCAGCAGCTCCATAACCTAGTGCCTGCTGACCAAAGCAGTTGTCTCAATTTGTTTTAAGGTAGGGCTGGCTCTCTACTCTATGGAGATTTTTTTCTCCCTACTTGTCCTTCTAAACAATCAAGTATTGTTACATTTATTTATTTAATTTGATTGGCTGCCCAACTCCAATGTTGTTGTTACAGTATTTGAAGTAGAAGAAGGACAGGCATGGAGCTTGGGGATGGAGTCAAGGGAGGAATCAGCCTGGAGTCATTATGTTCCCACAAGCAGTTTAAGTCTAACCTCTCTTGAATTCCACAAACTCTTATCTAGCACCACATTAGTGTTGACTTTTAGTTGACTAGATTCTTGTGTATAGGCACGAGCAATAAATCAGCTTAGCTGAACTTGTGGTCGTGATTCTTCATTTGAATTTTAAAAACTTCAAAAACATTATTTTGACTTCAGAATTATGTACACTTGAGAAAAAGTAGTCATTGTTGCCTTATTCAAGTTCAGATCAGATAGTATTTAGCTGTGTACCTTTCCTATTTATTAACTGGTATCTCAGTAGCAGATTTCAGCTTATTGGCTACAGCAGTGATGGCGAACCTTTTAAAGACCGAGTGCCCCGCCCCCACTCTGCCCCCCATCCCCTGCCCCGCCTGCCCACAGGACCACTCACCGCCTCCAGGGCCCGCTGCAGATCGCCCAGGCAGCCCAGCAGCACTAGGGCAGCCACACTCTCTGCCCGCACCCTACAGCATCAACTGTGTTGATGGGGTGTGAGGGCAGAGTCTTGTCTACGCTGCCTGGCTGCCATGTCCTTGGCTGCACTGCTCCATGTGGGCCACGCTCGGGGGCGACTCTACTTCAGGGGGGCTGCTGGAGAGGAGGGGGTCATGGGGGAGGCAAGTCTGGGGCAATGGCACGTGTGCCCACAGAGAGGGCTCCGAGTGCCGCCTCTGGCACCCATGCCATAGGTTCGCCACCACTGGGCTATAGGAAAGAGCAAATGCTTTGCGATCTGCAGAATAAATTGAAGGTAGATCAAACAGTTAAAATTACAGGATCAAGAAGACAATTCAAGAGAAAGGAACAAAGCTGTTATAGAGCTCGCGATACTGTACAAATCCTCAAGCCCATTTTCCTTTTCTTTAAAAATAAAGTTTTAAATTAAGGCATTATGCTAACAACAAAGCAAACTGTGAAGGATGTAATAAATTGCTTGATGCAGAATGAGCGATAAAATCCTCAATACTCCTAGCAATCTATAAAGAGTCTGTAACTTGTGCTTGGTACAAATACCGTTACTCTTTTACAAAACCAGATAATGATTTGGGTTTTATTAGTTGGAGATGAGACTCCCTCCTGGCTGTTCACACAAGACTATATCATTTTTCAGCTGTTACGGCAAGTTCAATCATGGGATACTGCAGTTAAAGCATATCAGGTAGCAAATGTGGGGAGGTTGTGTTGCTAAGGATTGTGGAGCTACTGTAGGAGAAAGCTGGATTATACTGGAAGTATGAGCCAAAATTTCATAACTCAGTTTGAGTTATTAGCTATCTAGCTATCTAGCTCACTGTTCTGTTCGCCCACCGTTAATCAGTTCCCAGATGTTACTTTTATTTTATTTGTCCTCAAAACAGAAAAAAAAATGTAAATAGAAATTCTTAGCACTTGTAAAATATTTATCTATCCCATATTTGATCACATTTGACCATGTTTTTATGCCACATATGCAGCCACCCCATTCTGTAGAAATGAAATAACAGCATTTCTAAGTACTCAAAGATCTAAACCAAGGGTCTTCAAACTTGGCCCTTTTATGACTTGTGGACTTGTGGACTTCCTCAGCGTGCATGACTGAGGAATTCTGGGAGTTGAAGTCCACAAGTCATAAAAGGGCCAAGTTTGAAGACCCCTGATCTAAACCCTGAAGCTGTGTTTGCATGAAAGAATTATATGTGGTTTGTTTACAGTTCAGTACATTATGCAGATTCAGAAAATTGGGTTGGTGACCTTGGTACAATTACGCACCTCAATTTTCTGACTTCAGACCATATACTGGACTTTAAACAAACCACATGGGTCAAGATTGCAGAATCTTGGCTAACGTGTGGTTGATTAGTGTATGACTTAGTGTGTTGTATGAACCTGAGCAACTGGATTAGCTCTAACTCTACCATGGGTGAACACAGCATCTACTTTATTTGATAAAAGCCCCAATTTCATTCATGAGTTCTGTTCTACCATCAGTGGAATCTGATTGAATTGTTTGGGGGATATTATTGATGGGGTTTTGTCTATTCCCCCCCCCCCGATTAAGTATTCTTTTAAACATGAATAAGCTGCCCAGAGTCTGATGGCTTGAAAATCCAGTAAACAAAAATAAATTAAATAAACTCCAGAGCACTTAACTTTGAAATGGAAATGCCCTATTCATTTGCCTAATTCATTTTATAAAAGCAATCTAAGCTGCAGGTTGCTATCATAGCTTGTGACTGGATGGGCTTGCAGAGGGCTCAGTAAATCACCTTGGAGAGCTAATAATCAGAATAGTCAGTTGCAAATGATAACATTTACAATGTTAACAGGATGATGTTAAATAATAACAGGAATCCTGCCTCTTCAAAAACAACTAAACAATAGAATAAGGGAAGCCACATCGGTTGAAATGGCTGATTCGTCATCTATAAAATTAATAACGTATGTATGCTATTTTCATTTTGATACTTTAATAATACTTTAATGCAGACTAGAGCTGGAAGGGACCTTGGAGGTCTTCTAGTCCAACCTCCTGCTCAAGCAGGAGATCCTACACCGTTTCAGACAAGTGGCTATCCAGTCTCTTCTTAAAAACCTCCAGTGATGGAGTACTCACAACTTCTGGAGGCAAGTTGTTCCACTGGTTAATTGTCCCCCCTGTAGGAAGTTTCTCTTTAATTCCAGGTTGCTTCTCTCCTTGATCAGTTTCCAGCCATTGTTTTTCATCCTTCTGTCCAGTGCTTTGGAGAATAATGTGATCCCCTCCTCCTTGTGGCAGCCCCTCAGATACTGGAATACTGTCCCCCCTAGTCATTCTTTTCTCTAGACTGGCCATACCCAAATCCTGCAACCATTCTACATATGTTTTAGTCACCAGGCCCTTAATCATATTAGCTGCTCTTCTTTGCATTTTTTCCAGTCTCAACATCTTTTTGGAATGTGTTGACCAAAACTGGATTTCCAACTTGTCTGTACAGTATTAATATACACAGGCTGTCCACAACTATGACCACAACTGAATCCAAAATTTCTGCTGCTAATCAAGACAATTGTTAACTGAGTTTTGCCCCATTTTATGGTCTTTTTGCCACAGTTGTTAAGTGAATCACTGCAGTTGTTAAGTTAGTCACACATCTTTTTGAAAAACAGTCTTAAGTCCCTTTTTCCAGTGCTGTTGTAATTTTAAATGGTCACTAAATGAATTATTGTAGGTCAAGGATTATCTATAATTTCTAAGATGCATGAGAGGGCCCAAATGTCTTCTTTATTTTTTATTTAAAAAAAAAAAAACCTGGTGTGCTTATGGTGAGATCAAGGCTTTTAAAACGGTGGAAAATTTCCAGCACTTTGTGGAATAACCATGTAATAACAATAACAACAATTATAACAACAATAATGATGATGATGACGATAATGATGATGTTGGAAGGGACCTTGGAGGTCATCTAATCCAACCCCCTGCTCAGGCATGTGATCATACATGGCTTCTAGTAGTGCCCATGGTATTTTTCTCTTGCAACTTTATTTCTGTTTTTTCAATTTTTCTTGCTCTTCTTCAGCCTCCGGTGATTTATATGACCCTCAGCCTCTATAAACGGAATCTAGTCTTTCATTCTCCATCTCATTCTAATTATTTGAAACTAACAAGCAAATGTTGCATAACAATACCATTTTATTATCTATTAATAGATGGCTTGAGGTTTGATGCTTTTTTTTTTATTTCTGCTTTGTTTTGTCTTGCCTGAGTCCACATTGTTTCAGGGGACGCATATTGTTGATTGCCGCACTCCAGTTATGTTAACGCCGATGAGTTATTTAAAGCAGCATGCACTGTGTACTTTCTCTTAGGTCCTACTATTAATCGCTTTTAAGTAAAAGAGCTCCCTATCTATCTCTCATTGTAAAATAAGATTGCTCCTAATTTTGTTAAATCCATCTGCACAGGGGCTTGCTGGCAAAGAGAGTGATAATGAATACAGTGAGGAATGAATTTCCTCAAATAAACAGCTCTAGAGGTTTGGCTTCCGTTGCTGCTTTCTAAAATGGAAGCATAGAAGGAGAAGAATCCAGAACTGTTTTGGCTCTGATGCTTTTTTGTAGTAGAGATTTTCTATTATTATTTAGGCTTTTCTTCTTTTTCTTCTTCTTTGAACCCAGTCAGCGGTGTTCCTTGAGTGGAGATGACTTGAACAGGCAGTGGTTGAACCCCAACCCTGTGCACCACCCCACCATTTACCACAGCAAGGGTCTTCTTTATTACCTCAAGAGCCAGGGACGAGTTCCAGTGGTGAGTCATTGCCATTTTTTTTTTACTTTTGTCTTTGGGGCATCCAAGATGGCGGCTGTGATCATGCAGTGGACTCTGTTGCATAGACGTGTAAAAAAAGGTGGGGTTTCAGTCAGGGCTTGGGGCTACCTTGGTTTTCTTGTCCCCCCCTTCTCTGAAGCCACCCCTGAATGCAGATTTAGCTTTATATCATTATGGGTTTTGTTTCGCTTTAATTTGATGTGATGTGTAACCTTGCCAGTAGATAAACCATGTTTTGTTTTGAAGCAGTAAATAATCATTTGAAACCATGGCTTTGGGGATAACTAACTGCAGCTGTGGCTTATTTCCGATATGCTAATTAGGACATGAGATTTGCAATTTCCTGGCTTATTCTTGGTTTGTTTGTTTTTAATTCTCCCTAAACTCCTGCCAACCTGCCAAGAAACAGCAGATAAAAATGCTGGAAAATAAAGCAGGAATTGGCCAAACATATTTTTTTTTTTGTCTGCAAGACTAACTTTGATTTTTTTCAGGATTGTTCGAGCAACTGTGGTTAGTATAATAAGTAACCATGCCTATAATTCTAGCCTACAGTAAAATACATCCTGTTTGTTCTTTTCCTAATATAAGCAATTTATCTAATGTAAGGTTTTTAATGGGCACTTTTGTGATTTTTTGGGGGTACTTTGTATCCAAGTTTTTCTTGTAAAGTTCTGGAACCTATTACAATGCTGAGGAAAAAGCTAATTTCAGTTTACAACTGCAACCAGGTTTTTGTATCAATCTGTGTCTCGTTTTTTCTTAGAAATGCTTATTAAGGTGTTGCAAAGATATTCCTACCTCTGTTGTGGAGAGTTTGGAGGGTATCATAATTTTCCAGAGACAAATTTTGTCTTCTGAACACCAGGCTCCATTTGCAGAGTAAAATACTATAAACTGCTAGCCTGAGAATGCCCATGAATAAGCATAATCTTGAAAGCTATATTCAGTGGAACTGAAAAGTAGCAAATGCACAACAAACATCCATACCTCCCCCCAAAAAGTCTTTGCTACCTAGAATCCAGAACGACCTAGAGATTTGTGTGTTTTTTTCCCAGGGGCCAGTGCAAGCTATCAGCAAACTTTGCTTCAGACGTGGCTATTGATCCTTCTGTTTCACTCTTTCTCAGCCTTCAGAACTGGATTTTCCTTGTCTTTGAAGAGTTCATTGATTTTACTTAATACATGTTCAACCTCTCTCTCCTGCCCTGCTTTCTCCTTGCTTTGGAAGTAAGCTTTTTTTCCCCCACTATAAACTTTCCAAATAAAGTTCACCAATGTAAATATTAACAGTGAAGTACAAAAATGAAGTTATGAAATAGTTTTAATATCCAGAGAAGGAGCAGCCAAAAACAATCTGTACCCCCCCCTTTTTTTTTAAATTAGGGTTATGTAAAACTATAACTGAAAGTAGATTAGAATGTGGGTAAAATTCCTTGACTTTTTGGACTCTGATTTGGGATCCCTTTTGATGTAGCCTTTTTGGTGTGTGATCCTCTTCCCTGTGATGTGATTATCTAGAATTCACAATGACAATGTGACGTTGTACGTGATTACTGTCTAAGTTGATATGTCCGACTACAGTGTAAGTTGTCAGATATGTGATACCCATCCTCTCAGTTTCATAGTTTGGGTGGGAAAACACAGAATCAACCCTACTTTTCTATTAAAATTATTTAGATGCAGATCACACACCATGTCACATTGGATATTTGTGAAGTGATTTGTGCATCACTGTGGTTTTACTAAATAGTTAATTATTCTCTACTGCACTAATCATTCTGTCAAATACTGCTGGTATTAGGAGATGCCCAGATCTCTCTGTTTTAGTTTTCTTCTCTTTATTTTTGCAGATACAGGATTTGTTGCTTGGTGATTTTTTTTTTTTTGACACAGAATGAATATTACATATTTTCTTATAGTTGTTTCCTGAAATATAAACATTTTTCTCTGAACGTTTGCATAATATTTAGCTTTTTTTGTCAAATATAAAGATATATATTGCTTTGGCATTTTTATCCACCTATCAAGCTGTTTCCAAAGGCCTGAGACTGAAAGATGTTTTGTCTGATGATATTAAAGGTATTGTTGCAAGATGTTAGCTGTTTCGGGTAAAACTGCCTTTCGCAATTGACTGGTGGTGATTTTTGTCAATGCCGATGGGATGCTAGTGGTGCTCCAGATGTTTTGGGATTACATCCAAGGCACCTGTTAGTATTAATACTATCTATGTTTCCTTTTGCCACAGAATAGTCACACTACGTCCATTGTAGATCTTTGTATTTTGTGATTTCCTCTAGTTCTTTTCTCTTCTGCTGTCTCCACTATCCAGATTTTTTTGTCTTTCTTATCAACAGTTGTTAAGTCTGGGGTATTATGTGGCTGGTGCTTTTTAGCTCCACCATTTTCTAAGTCTTTATGTAATTTGTGGTCTTACCTGTTCTTGCTTGTAGGCAAGTGGTATTTCTTGCACATCTTCCAATGCACCATTGAAGTTGCTATTTTGTCATGCTGTCCTTTGTAGTCAGTCGGTGTGATCTTGCAGCAGCTAACTAGGTGACTCGCTGTTTCTTCAGCTTCTTTGCTGAGGCAACATTTGCTGTGTGTTGCTGTGTTCTCACTTCTGGCTTTCTATACATTTTTTCTTAAGGCTTGGTGTTGTGCAACCAGAATCCCTTGGTCTCTTTCCTGCTCTTAGCCATTGCTAGGTCTTGTTGTTGTCTGCTTTGCCTGCTGTTTTTTTAATGTTATACTTTGCCAATATATTAATATTGTTAATATTACAAAATTTGGAAAAGCACGTATTTTGAGGGATATATTTCAGATTTATTTCAGATATCATTTGAAGCTGTACAGTAAGATACAGCTGATTGCTAAAGAAGGTATTAGTTTCTCTCCTTTTGCTACCTGGAAAACTTTGCAAGCAAGTTCTAGGATTAAGTAAAGCAATGTTGGGGAATTAGAGGTTAATTACACTTCTGATTTCTTTAAATAGTATTTCCCTTTCCTTCTGGGGATGTAGGTTTAAAGACACCCAATCTGTGTTTGTATCAGATATTACTAATCCTGGAGGGAAGAGATTGGACGTTATGTATGCCTGATGGGTATTGACTTCTTATCTCAGCAAAACTGGACAATGGATTGTTCTTCAAAAGCCAGGGTCAATATTAGCCCCCTGTGTGAATAAACCCCAGTTTTCCACTGTGATGAGAGTCAATAACTGCTTATAAAGGCTTATAAAATTTGGTGTAGGCAAAAGATGTGACTATTATCTATTCCTGTAATAGCAGAAGCTAGGCAAATGGATTACATTAGGGGATGACTAGGGGAGAAACACAACAGTTAAACTGGGAAGGTAAGTCACATTCTCTTCTTTGTGACACTGAGATTTTACAGAGTGAAATAACAGCATACAAAAATGTTTTCACATAATTGCTGGCCTATGCAATGCTTCAAATTGGCATGTTGTATGCTATGAATATAGAGAAACGCAAGAGGTATTTAATTGCTTTGCAAACTACAGGTTTTGATTTTTACAAGATGGATGGCAAGGGATGTTTAGAAGCAAAAAAGCATGTTATTTCTCAGTATGTTATTTAAAGAACTGGTCTTTAAAACATATGTGGATACTCTAGCTTTAATCTGGGTTAAGAAAGACTTCATTTTCCTAAGGAATCTGTGAATGGTAAATGAGAACGCAAGTGGGATGCTTGAGTGCATAAAGTTAATATGGATCTGTAGTTGAGGTAAGCCCACTGTTATCAGGGTAATTCTGTTGTTTTTCTGGATCTGTGAAGAAAGCAGAGCAATGCACCCCCATACCATATTTAAAAACTGCCTAAGTTGCCTTACCTAGAAGCAACAGAGCATCATTTGTAACCCAAATGCTTATATTGTGTTGTGCAATGAACAATTATGGAAACATACAATGTCACTGTTAGAACTTACAACTGGGTACTCTTATTACTTCTTCGGTTAGGTTTATACCCAAGCTTTGCTTACAAAACTCAAGGGGGCATGCATTCCCCTTCTCTAGTAATTTCTCCAAATACCCATGATGTAGGAAAGGAAAGGAGTCCCTGCGTGGATTTTACTCTGCTAGTCATTGCCAACTACAGAGAGTAGGGCTCATTTCAAGATGGACAGTATTCAAGATGGACGGAGTTTAATATTTACATGTTACCTATATGTAAGAGTGTAGGTCTATACATATGTTGTATATAGTATGTTTTAAATGAGTGTTATGTAGGTGTACACTTTGAGAGGAAGCAACTAAATTTCATTTTTAATGTGTGCCATTGTGCCTAGGGGAAAAAAATGACAATAAAGCTTATCTATCGATCTATCATTTCCATTTCAAGGCCCCTAAGCCAGCACTGTCCGAAGACACTCCTGCAGTCATGTGGCCAGCATGATGCTGTGGAGGGCTGTTTCCTTGCCACTGAAGTGCTACCTATTTATCTACTCTCATTTGCATGCTTTCAAACTGCTAGGTGGGCAGGAGCTAGGCAAAGATGGGAACTTGCCCCATTGCACAATGCTTGGAACTCAAACCCAGGCAGTTGGCTTTCTAGCCAACAAGCCCACCATCTTAACCAGTGAGCCATCACACCACCCTTGATGGAGGCTAGGCTGAAAATCAAAATCACCTCTTGTCTTGCACATCTGAATATTGATGAAAGTGGGTTCTCCTTAATCTAGACCCTAACCACCATTACCCCAGTGATGGTTCCTCAGCCTACTCTCAATGGCTTTGTTCTTCAGGATATGGAAGGCAAGATAATACTTGATAAATATAAGTCAAGGAAGTGAAGTGCAGTCCCTAACTCTTATTAGGAATCAACCATTTTGCATAAAGAGACAGGTAACTAAATCTTGAAACCCTTTTGAAGTCATTCATGATACTTTGCTAATCCCCTCAATACTGGTTCTTTTTGATTCCATATATATTTCCCTAGAGGTGATGCTCAGATATGTCAAAACATTCACTTCTTTTGACTCTGGTACAGCATTTTCTTTCTTTCTTTTTCTTCCAAATTTTATTAAATGTACATTTTAAAAACAAAAATGGACATGATTCAACTTCCCTGGCTTCAACAGTGCTATTAGTATTATCTTATGTTACAGAAAGAAAAACAGAAACTTAAAGTACATTCTATAACAGGACAAAGTATAACAAACTGTGCGTATAACATCTGTAAATTATTTGATAAACCATCTTTCAATCGTGAACGTTGTATTTACATATCATTCAGTTGTGGTACGGCATTTTCTTAGCAACTGCTCAACCCAGTCCTATGAGACATCAGTGTTTAGTTGGTTTCTTCTTCTTTTTCCATCCCCAGGTGTTTTGTGATTACCATGGACATTCTCAGAGAAAGAACGTCTTTCTATATGGATGCAGCATAAAGGAGACTCTTTGGCAGGCTGGATGTACAGTAGACACCTCCAAGGTTACTGAAGATGTTGGCTATCGGGTAAAGCATACTTCTTACAGCCTCTTTATCTGCGTAGATAGTCCAAATTAAATTGTCTTGATCATCTCTGGCTTAATCTTTCAACTTTTAATTCCATTTGGAAAAAAAAAATCAGATGATGTGCAGCAGCAGGAAAACTGGAGACTGATATTTACCTCAGTCCCTTAGAGCAATTCAGAAAAAAAGAGGCAAGGGCACTGCAAATCCATAAATAGGTTAGGACACTGAAGCATTAATACTATTTTTCAAGTAACAGTTCTCAGAATTCAAGGGATTTCCTTGTCAATTGGAGCAGGAAAATATGGATTACATATTTTTCTCTGTAATGGTGGTGAAGAAGGCAAGTGGAGCCTCATTGGCTAAGATTATATGTCTAGCTCAGCACTGGGAAATGACGGGGTTTTTTTTTCTGTCCTAGCACATAGCTGTCATATTCCTGTTCAGCAAAATTTTAAACCCCTGTTTCCCCCAATTTTGTTGTTTCTGCAAAACCAAGCAAACCAAAAAACCTTCTAAAAGGTAGTAATAATGTGAAATTGAAAAGTAACTTAAGGCAAAACCAGAAGCAAATAATAATTAAAAGAAGAAAGAAAGAAAAGAAAGAGAGAGAGAGAGAGAGAGAGAGAGAGAATGAAAGAAAGAAAGAAAGAGAAAAAGAAAGAAAGGATCCAATAGGGGAGATATATGTGCTTGAATGATAAAAACTTTTCAAAGATCTGCATTTAATTTTTCTGTCCAAACATTTGTTAGGAAGAAACATTTTTAATTAATTCATTTAAAAAACAATAAAAAAACTCATAGAAAAGATATTCAGTACCCATAAGGCATTTTTTTTTTCATATTATCAGACTTAGCAGAGTATTCTACAGTTCTGAGGAATCTTCTCCTTATTATCTTTTTAACTAATAATGTCATTTATCAGAGAATTCTTTTGGTCTGCATATCCTTAACGCACAATGCATCTTATTTTATGTGCTATTTTTTTTCATAGATATTATATACCTTATTGAAGTATTTATTTAAATGTGATTAGTATGGTTGTCTGCAGAATCTCTTTTAGCAGCTGTCGAAGGTTCTGGCCATTTACTACATTTTGGTACAGGGAGTTCTGTCTATTTTTTTAATGCAGAGTATGAATGTTAACCTTTTATCTGCTGACTTTTACAAGGAATTGATCAATTCTTTCCACTGGATGGCTCCAGACTCTAGTAATATCTATAGGAGAGAATACGTCATCCACTCTCATTGTTTCTTATTCTTCATTGTGGTCTAATCCACTGGTAGGGTCCTGAAAGAGCAGCACTGACTATTCCTGCTCATGGTCCAGGTTGAATGTTGTGCTTCTGTTGAATCTGAGGGAATGGAAGAACGCTGGCAATTTCATTCCAAGAATGAATGTTTCCTTCAGGAATTTTTGAATCAACAGCTAAAGACCTCAGAGCAAACTGCACTTGTTGGTAGTCAGTTATGTAGCCTACTGTATATTCATTACACAGGGATGGGGAAGGATGTGACCCTTCTGATACTTTGCTTTTTTTTTGTTGTAACTTTGAATGGTCACTAAGTGGACTGTTGTAAGTTGAGGTCTACCTGTAAATCTCAGGATTTGTACATGCAGCTTGCTCACAAGAGAACTTGGGTATGATGGTTGGTATCTTCTATTAAAGGTTTTCAGATAACGGAGCATGGAAGGCTTTCAACATCAGTCTGCTGTTGGTTAGAGGAGAGAGACATTCTGTTCAGGCTTGCAGAGCAGGTTTGACACCTCACTATTCTACTCCTTCCTCCCTTTTCAACAGGCTTACTCCCCTTCCTACCCCCATCTTTTCGTTCTCAAAACTCCTGAAAGGGAGCAAGTAAAAACTGCTGAAAACCATCAGGATGACATCTCGCCAACTTTACCTAACCAAGGAATTATGTCTAAGAATAATGACAATGAAGAGAAGTGTTTGATGGAAATCCTTTGAGAGATATGTTCTTTCTCCAGGATGATGGGGGGGAAAATAAGAAAAAAATTCATCATTTTTCTTGGAGGGGTCAAGATTTGTCCTGAGAAATTCTAGCTGGGCTCTAGTGAGACGAAAAGGAATTCTTTGGTTGGTTGTATTAGGAGAGAAAGAGCACACCTTCATTTCCCAGCATCTTAGCACAATATTGTAAATGGGTCTTTTACTTTTATTTTTGAAAATGTACAATTAAAAGACAATTAATGAGAAAATAAACGGGAGAAAATCATTAGCTTTAGATTCAAGAAATACGGTTAGAACAAATAGAATATTAAATTGGTATTTGCTAATGTTTACAAATGAGTGCTATACATGCCTACTTACCATTTACCTACCAGGATTGTTCTTTAATTAACATAAAAGGTTGATTGGAAAGAGAATTTTTATTTCGTTAAGGAGCTGAAGTCAACTCAGCTATCTACATATAGTTTCTTATTGTTTAAGGTGGATTGGGCAAGACTAAAAATAGGATGCATGGCTTTTTACCAAGGAATGATATGTAGGTTTGTTTGTATTTGGGGAATTTATATTCCTTGCAGCCATCTGATTGTTAGAACTCTCTCTGAGAGATGTTGAATCCACTTGGGGGTTTATCTATGCCCTCAGGGTCACCTAAATCATGCAAATGGGTGTGAAACCTTCTTGGAACTGCTGAAAAGACCGTGTTGTTACAACCATATAAATACAATATAAGTCCTTCCATCCTCCACATTCAGTCAGAACTGAAGAAGTTTTTTGGATGAGAAGCGAAACATCTTCAAGGAAAAACAAAGTCCAGTTGTCTTTTGAATAAGCATCTTTGGGACAACCATGATCTGGATGACTGAAATCTCCATAGACATGTTGTGAAAACATAACCTATAGTATAACAGTCCATAGCTTAACACAGTGTTAAAAATAGAGATACAAGCATATGAAACATCCTTAGATATCCCATTGTAACTGAGTAGTAAATTACACAGCCAGTGCTAAAACCCAGCACAATGTATCAGAACATTCTGCATCTTCTAGAGTTTCCCAGTAAATCTAAAAGCCTTCAAAGAGAGATACCCCAAGAATTTAAAGCAGTCAAGCCACAACCAGAACTAATTTTATTTCTTCATGTCTTCTGTTATCTGCATCAGCTCAGCTTCCTCTTGGGGTGAAAAAAGGATCTTGCTGATTTCTGGAGACTTAGCTGCTGCTAATGGCACCAAAGCAAGGCAATTTTTCTTTTGTCTTAAAAGATAAGAAAAAAATAAATTCACTCATCATTGAACATCTTTTGATTTCTGAAGAGTGCATTATAACACTTAATTGATTGATGGCCAAGTGCATAAACAGATCGGTAGCATTACTGGAGAAGTGTCACATTTTTAGTTGGTAAAACATTGTTTCCCCTTTCTCTACACTTTCTCAAAGTAACACTGGATGAGGCCACTAACATCTCAGGAGACCTCATGCCATTTTTGTGCTCTGTGTATAAATGGGTCTATGTTCAAAGTCAGTGATGGGGGGGGGGTGTTCAAAAAGTTGCTACCATTTCTTTTCAGGACTCCCTAATGATGCCCGTGCTTTGACTAAGCTAGGAACACTTTCCAAAAGTCTTACTTTATGTTTTCCTCCAAGTTTCCATTCCCTGCAGAAGAGGTATCTTTCTGATTTCTTTAGTCAATGTTTTTTTTGAGTTTGCTTTCCTCCTGGAAGTAGTAGATAATGCTCCACTGAAAATACTGTCACTGCTCATCCTTTCTGATCTGAAAAGGTCCAGGATAAACATTCTCCCCTGATATCTTCCCTTGAGAGAAAGCCTGTAAAAATTAAGACTGCCAAAGGAAGAACTGTACAATGAAAAATTGGAAAGGCAGCTTTTTAACCTCCTTATCACTCAGTAAGTACAAAGACATCATCATGCTCCTCCGCTCAGGAAAATTCTCCTTTGTTTTCAAAAGCGAATTCTCGTTTCATAACGCTGAATGGGGGAAAGCACAAGTGAAGTAATTTTGGATGATGCCGAAGATAACATGGCAGACTTAGCTGGAGGATGCATTTCTGTTCTTGTTGCTTTCCCAATAAATATCTCTTAGAGGGCAATCCGGAAAAAAGGATAAATAAGACCATTGATGTGACATTGACTTGCCCCCAAGGAATTCCTTGCCAAAGATTTGTTAATTTTGTTTATTTGTCTGACAATTTTCTATCTTCTTGTGCTGAGGCCAATTTCCCTAATATAATTTGGATCTTTGTCAGCAACAAACTCATGTTAGTTTGAAGCAACACGAAGGAGGTAGATATCAAACATTGCTTTTTGGTCTACCCACGATTTTCCAAATCAGAAACTGTCATATTTTTTTTCCTTCTCCACGCTGATCAAAAATGTTGGCAGAAAATTCTGTGAAACTTCCTGGCTTTCTTATGAAAGCGGACATGGAATAGAGTTTATCAGTGAAAAGCTGTATCTTCAATTACAGGAATCAGTGGTAATTTTATTTACTTAGGTAAAATAAAAGGTATACATTCTCCAAATGGATTTATCTAACTAGTCGCCAGCCAGTTTGTTACAGACATCTCCCATCTTTACCACAAAGAAAGCATTATTAGCAACCAGATTAACTAGAGCTTGAAAAAAATAAAAGTGGGTTAAAAAGAAAAAAAAATACTTTAATAAATTGATAAAGTGTAGTTGAAAGCTCTAAGAGTACAGGTAGTCCTCAACTTACAACTGTACATTTAGTGACTGTTCAAAGTTACAACGGCACTGAAAAAAGTGACTTATGACCATTTTTTCATGTTTATGACATTGTAGCATGCCCATAGTCATGTGATCAAAATTTGGACATTTGGCAACTGGCTCATATTTATGACCTGTTAAAAACCTCAATGCACAGGTTTTCTATTTGATCTCCAAGTTCTAGGTTTAGTCTTGTATCATAGATTAGCCTACCTATTGGATTGCAGACTGTTTCATGTTTTCCCTGTTGAGCTTTTCCTATCCGTTCTTATCTTTTCACATGATGGATAAAAAGTTGATACTCTGCAGCCTGATGTAATATCATCCAAATGTGGCATGAAATTCCATCAATCTCTTATGCATAATGTATTGCCTTTTATTTGTTTTTAATTTGCTGCCCATCGAGATTTTGATGGTGTTGATGAGTGCTATTTCATATTGTTTGTGTTATTAAAAAGACAAATTTGGTATCTGCCTGACATCTTTCTAATTAAACAAAAACAAAAAACTCCCAGCTTTTCATTCTGATATTCAAGAGATCTTTGCCTCCTAGCTTTCACTTCCATTTTCTTATTTTATGCACACCATTCAATGCACACGAGTGAATTCTTATAATTATCTGAATTGCTATATTATTGACAGCACAGTTTTGCCTTGGAGTTCTCTTTTACTGGTCTCACCTATCAGAACCATGACAGCCTATAGATGTACCAAGGTATTATCTCTTTCTCTCTCTAATTCTGTAATCTCAGATGTTCAATATTCAATTGAATAGAAAGGTGGGAATATAAATAAACCAAATAAATAAATTCTTATTAGTCAATCAAGGACTAGGGCTGCAGGACAAAGGTTCACCTAAGGCTAATCCATGGCTCTGTCTCAGTGGTGTGATTCAGATATGTGAAAAACCAGTCCTCTGTGTGGATGCTGCTTCTGGAAGTCCATTCTGGGCCTGGGCAATAAAAAAATAGCTACCGGTTCTGACGAACTGGTGTGAACTGGCTGAATCCCACTACTGCTCTATCTTGAAATAAGGTGTGAATTTGCACTATTACAATTCACTGCTTACTTTCATCAGTAGGTGTATGTCACTTAGGATGGCTTAAAAATGAACACATTCCCCTAGAACTCAGTTTAACTCTATCCCTCCCTCCCCCCAATTTCTCAGTCTACCCTACAAATCTGAGATTTCTTTGAGTTTCCTCATTCAAGGGCTAGGAAATTCACCACCCAGAGTCCTTCTCTGAGGAAGATGGGCGGTTCAAAATTTGGAAAAAAAAAAGTCCACTTCAAGTCCAGCAAAGTTGGCTAGCTATTCCTAGTTCCATTTAAAAATCAACCCAAGATTTTTTTAAGGGGAAAAATAAGAAGCTGCTACCAAAATAAAGAATAAAATAAAATCTAATAGCAATAGCACTTAGACTTATATGCTGCTTCTTAGTGCTTTACAGCTCTCTCTAAGCAGCTTACAACATCAAGATATTGCCCCCAACAAGCTCTGCCTTCATTTTGCCAACCACAGAAGGATGGAAGGCTGAGTCAACTTTGAGCTGGTCAGGATCGATTTCCTGGCTGTGGGCAGAATTTGCCTGCAATACTGCATTCTAACCACTGTGCCACCTTTATGTAACGTTGCAATTATTTGATATGTTGCAGACTCTGCCAAAGATCTTGGATAAAGTGGCTCCTGCATTTCTGATGAGTAGCTGCAGCTTCTTGCTGGAGAAGTCGCGTGACTCCACAGCCCGAGTGGTGGTTTGGCGGGAAATAGGAGTGCTAAGGAGCTACACCATGGAAAGCACCTATTCTGGATGCAGTCATGGACTCTATAAGGTAGTGTACGCTTGATTTTAATAGCATGGGGTTGCGGGATCTTTCTAAAGACAAAGCAGCAAGAGTTTAGTTCAGCAGCAAGGAGAGCACCAATATTTGGCTGAAAGGCCTGCTTCTTTAATTTCTCCAATATATAGCATTATTCCAGAGTACCGCAGCTCACTTTCTCCTCATTTCCATGACTTCAAGTTGCATATGCAAATGAATCTATTTATGCATTTGCTAATATATTGGTGAGTCATCTTTTGGCTAAGAAGCTCACAAAACAACCTGCACAAATTATTTTCAATGTTAGCTAACTCAAAAAGCAAACAGAAAAAAAAAAACCCTAAAACCTGGGAGGCCAATGTGTCCTATTCAATTAGCAAAGACTGGAAAAGAATATCTGAGCATAAAGGAGCCTGGAGCTGCTTGTAAAAAATGGCAATAAGTTCATTGCGTCATACATCACCACCTCAGGAGCAGACCAAAGCATGGCAGAAGACTATCCCATTAATACAGTATTTCTCAACTTTAGCATCTTTAAGATATGTGGAGTTCAACTCCTGATATTGCCCAGCTAGCTTAAGGTTGCTGAAGTTGAGAAAGGCTGCATTAATTATATACTTCCACTACATTTAACGAAAAACAAATTTCCAGCCTTTACAAGGACAAACATTAGTTCTTACAGATGTGTCCTGTTTGTTTCTTCCAGTTAAATTACCTGTGCTTCAGTAATCACTACTTCAAATCTGAACAGTAGGTTTTTCAGTATACAGTTCCTCTATTGGGTTAGAAAGTCTCCCATCCATTTTCTTTGTGAATTTCTCTCACGCTCGATTCCTCTTCCCAAAAGGAGTGACAGTAGCTTTCCATTTATCCATCTGAGGTGGTTCCTTTTTCCACAACCCCTGAAACATATTTAAAATTAAATTTATGTTTGACGATTATTCTCTATGTATTCAATAGTTTGCCACGTCTAGCACGTTAAAGTTTAATTTTGACAATCTCCATCTTTAGAGGCCTTCAACAGAGCTATTGTATGGGGGGAGGGTCCTTGGTGTTCTCTGAGCTTGCTTGTTTTCTTGTAGGCGTTTCGTTACCCAAACTAGGTAACATCATCAGTGCTAGAAGGAGCGCGGTTTGCTCTGAGTTTATATTCTGGTGTCTTGCCTGTCAGTGTTGGTGTTTGGTTAGGCTGTTTGCTGTTGCTTGTTTGGCAGTTCCTTGATTGGGGTATTGTTTACTTGATTGTCGGTCTGATGTTAACCTTCGAGTAAATCTATGCTGATCTGGGTGCTGATTGCTGGTGGAGAGCTATTATATGCCCAAAGGTATGTGTGTGTGTGTGGGGGGCGGGTATTTGATTGTTGGGGGCTACAGGTTTTTGAGAGATGCATGTATTCCTGGTTGTGTAATTGTGTCTTAGAGTGAGCAAGAGAAAGAAAGGCAACTTGTATAGTTGAAAACTGTGGCAGTGCTGCATGATTCTAAGGTATGAAAAAAGAAAGTAAAACAAATGTTCTTTGCTCACCCTCTTACTTTCTTTAATCAAGTCAGCCCTCCTCTCTTCCATACTAGTTGCTGAGGAGTTGTTTGGGTCACATTGGAAATCTTTAATTCCCTCCCCCCGCTCCAAAAAGATTGGACAGCAATGTGTTTGAACAAGGATGAGTCTTCCATTCTTGTCCTACTTTTTCAGAATTTCTGCTTCTAAAATCTAAGTGCAGATGAAGTCTGGGTAGGGAATCATTTATGAGCTCCTTGGAGAAAGAAATGCCAAGATCCTTCCTTCCTTCCTTCCTTCCTTCCTTCCTTCCTTCCTTCCTTCCTTCCTTCCTTCCTCCCTCCCTCCCTCCCTCCCTCCCTCCCTCCCTCCCTCCCTTCCTGGCAGATGCAAACAAACGGACAAATAATTATTTAGCAATTAAGTTTACGGTTAGAATTAGGGACCTTCCTCCCATCTCCATAGAGTTGTCACTCCATACATCAGTGAAGCAGTGCAAAAAAGGAACCATAACAGCTGTTCTAAGTGTGCAGAGGATTCCAGGACAACTGTTTGGAATGGGAAACAGAGGAGAAATATGGAGAGAACATTTGGGAGACAAATAGATTTGTCCTCTTTAGCTGGAACGGTGCACAAAATATATCCTACTTCAAAGGAACAAGCAAGCAGACACCTGGGGTATAGGGACAGACACTGCAAAGAGGTTTTCATTTATTACAAATAATATTGGACACTGTGGAAGGAAAGGTAGAACTGAGCAGTCTGTTTTATGTCGGTCTCTCTTTTCCTCTTATATGGCTTCAGTAAAAACAGTCTATGAATAACGGTGACCTTTTTGCCCAGCGTCGTGCCTAAACCAGAATGTCTTAGTGCCTTAGGCAGGATATTTAATGGGACCTTCTCATGTAAGTTAGCAAGGAATGACAAAGCTGAGATCACATTTTGTGCTAGCTGGAAAAACTGGCTTGACGTCTTGTACGAACATAATAGTTGTGGGTTGTGAACAAGCCATTCTTTATGGATTCATAATGCTATCTGGAAAGGCCTCTGTCTGAGAATGAAGCTGCAGAATGAAGCTGCTCCTTCGGCCGCAGAAGAAGTGAGCCAGCTGGGTAAGATCCATAGGAGGTCTGGCTGCAACGGTAAACTCCATCCCCCCCACCCCCACCCTAGCTTGATTTTTAGGCATGTGCCTCGCCCCAAAACTAGTGCTTATTTTTGGGGTAGGGCTTACTTTTGGGGAAACACGCCATGACTGATGAATTCAAATTGAAAGGAAGTCATTAAATTTGAAGTTGGCCCAGATCAACATTTTCACCTTCTTTCTTCGGAAACAAAAGAGAAACCTCATAGATGTTCAGAGATAATTCTACCCACTGGACTTTGGCAGATTTAAGCCACCCAGCTTAAAATTTTGCTGAAGAGTTTCCTAAAACCATCAAACTTGGCTGAAGGCAGTAATCAGAAAGACATTGTGAGATCAGACCTCATGACTATTCCAGGATAAAACTTAGAACATTATTTTTAGATGCCCCTTCCCAATTCTAACGTGTTGTATTCTAACTTGTTATACAAAGATTCATTTAAAGACTAGCCCAATGGGATTGTAAGAAGGTGCCTATGCTAAATGGGATTAGAAGAAGATTTGTGTGCTAAATCAGATTACTGACCCATGTAGCTGAGTATGATCAATACTAATTGACTAACAACTCTTTAAGGGGGCCGTGCGTGATTATTCTCAAGTCCTTAGAAATTTCATAGGTGCCTTACTACTAAGGTACGGTCTCTGTAAATCCAATGCTTTCATTCCAGCTAACTAGAAAAAATAGGTTTGAACTGATAATATCAGATTATAATGTAAACACAGCCTGCTGTCAGCTTTACCTCCTTTGCTGGGTTGGAAGTATGAAGAAAAGTCTTCCCGCAGACAGCTGCCAGTCTGGTGAGTCATCTTTACTTCTTGAGTGAATATATTTTACAAGTTTAAGATAAAGATAAATGGGGTTGAATGAGAATCCTCTATAACATTTCAAGCTCCTTAAAGCATGTGTGGGATTAAAAAGGAATAATTTGACTTAATACATGGCAAACACTTGACCTTACACATGGGTCACAATAATTACAGTGATTACTATAATTATTGCAATTACATGGTTGAATTATTGGAAACCTGCAGGGTCAATGCATAGGCATGTTATTCATTTGATTTTAATAAATCTTCGGTAAACTTTGCAGCATAGGTTGAAATCAGCCACTATTCTTTAGCTAGTTCACATTCCACATTGTACTATAATATCATTGCTGGGTTATGGCTTACTATGTTGTGCGAATTTAGCCTTTGCGCATAGCAAACCAGAATGTAATGCCTAGCATGTATAGCCAGTTTTGGTTTATTCAGTAAACTATGGTAGAACAAGCCATATCCCTTATATAATGTCTCAGGGGTTGCCGCAAGGAAGAGGGGGTCAACCTATTCTCCAAAGGACCTGAAGGCAGGACAAGAAGCAATGGATGGAAACTCATCAAGAAGAGAAGCGACCTAGAACTAAGGAGAAATTTCCTGACAGATAGAACAATTAATCAGTGGAACTACTTGCCTCCAGAAGTTGTGAATGTTCCAACAATTTTTAAGAAGAGACTGGATAACAATTTGTCTGAAATGCTTTAGGGTTTCCTTCCTGAGCAGGGGGGGTGGACTAGAAGACCTCCAAGTTCTTCTTCTTCTTCTTCTTCTTCTTCTTCTTCTTCTTCTTCTTCTTCTTCTTCTTCTTCTTCTTCTTCTTCTTCTTCTCTTCTTCTTCTTCTTCTTCTTCTTCTTCTTCTTCTTCTTCTTCTTCTTCTTCTTCTTCTTCTTCTTCTTCTTCTTCTTCTTCTTCTTCTTCTGACTTTGAGGTAGTCTGTTTTGCCATCTTTTATCCAGATGGTAACCTATTCAGTGCATAGGTTTCATATAAGGACAATAAGATGTGGATTTCCCATTTTTTAGGGACATCCCACAAACTGAGATGATTGACACATTGTGATAAGTGAAGCAGATATGGATGTCATCTTTGTATTCTTTGGCTTTTTCTAATATCTAGCATGTATCAGCAATAATGTATCTCATTCTTTTCTAAATGCTAGAATATTGTACAATAGTTAGCACATTCTGCCCAGTTACCTTTCTTTAGTATTGGTATGTAGCCTGGTTTCTTTCTATCTGTTGACCACTGCGTTGTTCTCCAGAGTTGTTGGCATAATTTGGTTAGTGTCTTTAAAGAGCCTCTTCTGAGATTTTATCTTATCCATCTGTGTGGCTTTCTCCATAAAATACAGAGATGATGTATTGTGGCCTTGTGGCACAGTGATCACAACGCAGCATTGCAGGCTAACTCTTCCCCACTGCCAGGAATTTGATCCTGACTGCCTCAAGGTTGACTCAGGTTTCCATCTTCCAAGGTCAGTAAAATGAGGATCCAGATTGTTGGGAGCAACAGGCTGACTCTGTAAACCGCTTTGAGAGGGCTGTAAAGCA